TTTATTGTCCCAAAGAGAATCTAATTACGGACAGTAGCTTTCTTAAAATAAATGTATGTAAAACTGCCACCCAGTGTCCAATTTGAGGATAGGTAACGATGCTAATGGCTTCCTCGATGCGGGCTCTAAATATCTTATAATTGCTTATTGCCTAGGTTACAAGTAGAGACATCATTAAGCTGAAGACTCCACTTTCTCTCTTACATTTGGAGATGGCTACCGGGGGAGATATAAGCACAGACAATAGTGGAAATCGACGTCTTTGGGGTTATAAAATCCATTATCATTTAATAACAGTCTTTATTTCTTATGCCCTTTGATCATAACCTTCGTCCAGAGGGACAACTGATGTAAAAGTAGGCAAATACTGCATAAAATATAAAATGGGATATTATCGTGAAAAACACAAGGCATCAGGTGCTGAATCATCAAGACAGCTTTCCTCTGTAATAATAAAAGACCTTCCATTTTAGGCAAATAATCAGGCTTAATATTTTTGTCGCTTTAGCACTGCAATATTTTTCTTTCCTTTTTGAGCTTACTCTTAAGACAGATACAAAAGCGGCAAAAATGTTCTATTTGACAGCTGTACCGGAAATAAGTTATAAGCTATAGTTATAGTCTCGTGTACGATACTGGCGTCTGAACGTTAATTTTAATGAACAAAGTTTCCCTTATAGAAAATACTGACACGTTAAGTGAAAAAAAATACTTGTTCTAGAAATACCACTTATTTTTTCAATTAAATTGACAACAAACACCACCTGATTTAGCATACTAGAGAGAATTCAAACATATTGATTAATTGACCTTACTTTGTGAAAGGTAAACAGAACCCCAAACTGTTGGTGCTTTTTTTAGGTCGTGTCCTTTGTTGAAATGTTTAAATTGTATAACGAGTGTCTCCTCAAATTGTCTGAATTCCCAGGTCAGATTGGTCATGATAGCATAATATAAATTGTGAAAATGCTTTTATTGTGATCAGCTTCATTTGTATCTCACAAAGATATTACACATGATTATAGTACATGCTATTTTTTTAATTGAGCCAGAGGTAACTAGATGCTGATATGAAACAACAATACCGCGCGAAAGTATTTCCTTCTAAATGTTTTCACCTTCATATTTGGCTACAAAGAAAGAAGCCATAATCATTCTATAATTTATAGAAAAAGCCAGCTTCAAACCACCATTGGCTTCCATTTGTGAAAATCAAAATTTGGAAACCTTAATGCACAAAACAAGATCGAGACACCCAGACTTATTCAAGATAATATATGACCAGACTACACAAACTACAAATGTAAGAGAAGTTCAGTGAACAGAACTTTTAACCCCCGTTTGGGCTCCATCGTGCAAAATCTAAATTCTAAAACCATATATCACATCTGAAGGATACTACAAATTTGTTCCATAAGAATTGATTACTGCAAAAATGTACTAAAAGTTTAAGGAGCAGGAATTTTGTAGGAAAGCATCGTTTTTGACCCCCTGTGCACGAAAAGGGTGACAAATCCTGATTTTACTTCAACAAGACATCCCAGTTTTATAAATAAATTTTGCTAAAACAATACATTGCAATATGTAGGTAATATATGGTGTTCCTATTGCATTGACAATATATATGCAGTTCCTATTTTTTATTCTTTCATGAAGAGACAATTTTTTGTGTTCATATAAAGTTCAGTGTTGAAGATTTTCAATGAATTTCATAACGAAATTCATATTAAATGTAAATATTGATAAATTTTGATTGAATCTGCTCGTTTACTTTATTGAACAATTAGCTTGCTCAGCAAAACCGTAAGTGCTATTTGCTTATGAAAGTTCAAATCAAATTCATGTACTCTTTATTCTGTAGGTTTTGCAACAAGCGTGTGGTTTTCAGGGTTAGGTTCTGCAGTTAGAGCACCTTGACCGTCGTTGTGACCCGTAACTCAAATTAGCTAGATTCTACAAAGTCGCGGATCAAGGACTAAAAAAAACAGTAAACATTAAAACTTTATCAAAATTATTACCATATTTATGGTATCAGGGCGTACATTGTAAGTCTTTTCAATTCTCAATACAAATATTTCCCGCCATAAAGTATAGATTTTATGACATCACACTTGACAATTTCTTTTGTAGTAAACATACTAATTGTACACACAAGTAACACAAAGATGACATAAAAGGGAAGTTTTGTGTTTGTGATTGACTAATAATATTTTTTTTGGGAGGGGGGGTATGTTTTCTACATCTAACATTTTTGTAACTGATATTTCAATACTACTACTTGGTGCTTTGTTAATAGGAGACCTTTTTTTGTATTTACGATACATGAGCGAATCATTTTTTTTTAACTTCTTTGTGGTAAAAAAATTAAATTCCTTTGCCGCTGTACTTATATCGGCATTTTGAATATATATAACGACGAAAGCCTACCAATTAACAATATCTATTTTCATTCTCCGAACTCGATAATGAGTACCGTGTATGACTCAAGCTTTTGTCATCAACTTTTTTAATTTATGTAGAAATCTACCATCATCGTCAGCATATGTGTTTAATATGTCTCCGGGTTGATTCGATACGAAGAGCATGTTCTATGTATAGACAATGTTAAACCAGAATAAGCTGTTGACGAGTTTATGATACTCGTATGGAGATAAACAGTATCGTTTGAAGTCAACATGCACTATGCAAATTTTATAGTGGATACAATGATTTTGTAAAAAATACAATCTATCGTTATATGTGAGTTGAGTGTTGAATAATTTTCTTACAAATTATTTGCTTATTATTTTCAAACCGTGAATTGTATATGGATTTTCCCGTGTACGCGATCATGACAAGGGACATACGGCGGTAATGGCCGGTCGACCGGGTAGCAACTTCTCTTTGGAACCTTATCCCATTTCTAATGTTTTAATAATCTGTGTTTGCTTATTCCTAATTTGTTTTGTTTCAATGAATTTTTTTTAAAAAGGAAATTTTGGGCCCTTTTTCAGTCGAAATTTAATATTAACCAACCCTGAAAAATCCAAAAGTTGCTGGGTAATCTTAAACCTTAAATTGCCACTGCTAAAATTATCCTGGGGTTTAACACATTTGTGTTCCAAATTTTTCAAAAAATTTTTTCCCTTTGGGAAATCAAAAATGCAGAGTACAACTATTTTAAATTAACCTCCGGAAAACGATCTATTGTTTGAAGGGGGGTTTTTGAAACCCCTTTCGGGGTTTGGGAAAAAAAAATATTTTCTGAAAAGGGAACAAAAGATGGCACCCTGAATAAAGTTGAAAAAAAAAAAAAAAAAAAAAAAAAAGTTTTTTTCCCAAACCCAAAAAATTTTTTTTGGAAAAAAAATGGAAAAGTCTGAAAACTTTTTATCGAAGGCGATGCTTGCCCTTTACCACGTATTTCTACTGACCCAAGCCCAAAAATCCTTATATGTTAAGGCAGTAGTCATGTATTTTATATTTATTACATTAAAATAAGATGTTCCACATGAGAAAGTTATAATTTAATGCCAGGCTTCCAAAGAAAATTCTAACTATAGAGCAAGACCTAGGGAAAAAAGTTTTCCTCACAACACTAGTTCCTCAAAATCCGGCACAGTTCCAAGATGAAAACTCATTTCGACATGTATGTATTCAAGTGTCTTTCAAAACAAATTTTAATATGTTTTTAACAAAAATGCATTTTCCAGCTAAATATTCACGACAGAAAATATTTAGGCAATTACATGTAATCTTTTCGAAAAGTTGTTCAAGTCATGTTCACAAAGGTTTGTAGTGACGCGTGATTTTTAAAACTGGCATATGATTAAACATGAGAATGAAAATGAACCATTTTTCTAATTCTATATCAAAACATTATTTCAAAATATAGAACTCATCAAAGCGACAACTTTGATGAGATTTTCTACTTAATTTGATCGATTTAGCTTCAGACTTTGGACGAATATGTCAAAACAGATTGGCTAGCAAGTGAATTTATTTTTTACAAGCTCAGAATTGATATAAAGCATCTGTTCGTCTATATTGATATTAAATAGAAAAAAAAAAACTGTCGCATTTTGTAACTTTTCATTTAATTTCACAACGGACAATCCCCATTAAACATCACCGACTTTCAGTCCTTTGATGTTTGCGTTGGGATATTGATGGAAATATAATGAAGCTGAAACAAATATCCTAATGATGGATTGTTTTTATGAACAGATTCCCTGCACTTCTAAAGGCCATAGCTTTTTCAAGTTAAGAATGCTTTGTTTGATGGAATTCCTTTGCAAAAGGCTAATTTTTGTACAAAGCACTGTACGTTATATCTAGCTTCTGTATTTACTTATGTCCAAAGTATAAATGATTTTTTGTTGCGGTCATTCTTTGTCATCAATCTTACCAAGAAAAAATAGAATGTATTAGCTTGCATTCGAAAAATCTCAATGTATATTTTGTATGATTATGATACAGTGCAAAGCAGAGTAGAACCATTCAGTGCTTTGACATTCACTCAAATCCTTTTTTCTGTCACCTTGCCTTTTGATACACAGAATAAAACAAATTTGTTAGTAAGATAACCATGGAAGTTAAATTTGGATCTTTGAACCCTCCTGAAAATCTCAATGTTATAGGCTTAATAAGATGCACGTTAAGTAAATATCAGTTTTGTTGATATATGAAAAAAATTAAGCATTGTCAAAAAGAAATGTAGATAAATACTAAAATGTTATACATGATTACAGGGAGAGGGGAATGGAGTATAAGATCCAGGAAAAATACCTCGTCTTGAAATCTACAAACACAGTTAAAGACTTTCATATTTCATTCACAAAGTGAACGGTTAATAAGGATTGTTTACATTTCAATACGCGTATAGTTTACACGAATTCCGAGATGAAACATATGCTTCTGTGGGTATGGCGACCGGGCCAGAGATATACAGGTTTTTAAATGGGAGCGAAGATCGATCCCGAGATATAAAGTGTGCAGCTTTTCTCCTTTTCCACTTGCAGGTGATTGCTTATTTATACAAAGTGTCATCGTGCACGGATCTGTTTGATCTGCCGCTAACTCGGGCGCTAATCTTCTCTTCCTTGAAAGCTTCTCACTGGATGTATTCTCACAAGGTAAGGCTATGTGGTCATGAATCTTTTCCTGAATTACATCAAAGATAATGGTTAACAAATCGTTAATGCATGCTAAGGATTATCTCACTGTATACATATTTAAATGTGTTCACAGTTTGACTGCTAGTTTATATATTCCAAGAAAATCAATCATATCGATAATTTTCAGACGTCCAAGATTTTCCCCATCAATGACTTGTTTGTAAATAGATTTCCCCTCTGATGTTCATGAGCTTCCATTTATATTTATATTTACATATAACTGATGATTATGAATTATTCATTGTCATCGAGTTAAGACCCACGGAAACACTAGTGATTTCTTCATAATAAGATTTACCGCAATGCTGACCTTTGGTACACCTTACGGTGGAGGTTATAGTACTTGGTATAGTGTGCAGAGATCGGAACCCCTTTGACATTTTATTTAAAAAAATGTTTAAAATATTGTTTATATCATTTTAACATTTGTTGATTTTTAAGAAATTATCTAGAGAAGGATTTTGTTGAAACGTCGTTTCTTCTGTCTATTTGCTTGATACATTATGTTTAAAAATGCATATCATAAAAATTCCTAACGTCTTTCATATGAAGTATTCCACTTCTTAGCTGCGTGCCATCTCCACGAATTTTGAATGTGTGTCAAAACTTTCAGATATTTATTTAAGTTTTGACAACTGCATTTCATATTTTAGGATGTGTTTATTACTTTTCTCTGGCGCACATTTACGTAAACCTACTTTATTAAAATACAATCAACACTAAGCAACAAGTATTGACAATGTTTAAATGTTCTAAATCTGAACAAACAGAATTCAAACAGAAAATTAAGAGTATTGAGAGTATAGCAGCACGCTTGTATATACAGGGGAACTATTCATTTAATGTTGTTACCTTTTCTTTTGGAAAAGAAAACGTTAGAATTTAAAAAAAAAAATTAAAAATGTGAAGGGGTTACCTTGAATTTAAAGGATCCTTAAAGTTTTGTTCAGCCTGTAATGAATCGGGGGAAAATGATTGTAATGGAATACGTGTATCTGGTCAGAAAAACGAGAAAATATGCGCTATTTATTTTTTTGGGGAAAAATAATTTGGTTAAAAATATGTTCAAATGTCTTTACCAAAAAAAAGC